TAAACGAGCTGATACCAGTTACATTTTCGTAAAAAATTATATAAAAAAGGTAAATCTGTTGTTAATACTCCTTTTTTTAACAGCAATTTTTAGTATAATTTAAAAAATAATGCCTACAAAATTCGTATGGACAACGTAAGTCTATATCGTGAATAAAAACTTTTTACCATTTTATTTTATTTACAAAATTTATTGTTATTGTCAATTTTGTTTATATCGCATACCCCACAGCACTTTCGTATACAATATATATTTAAAATATTTTTTTTAACTGATAAATAACAGAGCAACAACAAATAACTAAATATAAACTTGCCTTTCTGATCCAGAGTTGGAAGATGAATCACTTTTGCTTTCATTTTCTGGTCCAGACCCAGAATTTTCAGAATCTGACTGTTCTTCTGTCTATAAAGATGAGACGGAGATAAAAGCACTGCTTACTAAATACTTACCATTATTTCCTCATCTTTATTACTACATTACCCAATAAGCATTGATAAAAGGGTTGCTTCTTTTTTAAAAGTATTTCTATTTAATTTTTAACACGAATAAAAAAAACTAATGACTATCTTTATGCAACTGAATTTTACCATTCCCCCCAAAAAAAGTGCAGTTCAATAGCTATATAAATAACTCATTATTCAAAAAAACTATTAGGGGGGTCCCCCCTCGTATTATATATTTAATAATTGAACATTAATTTCCATAAACTTATTAATTACTTTGATGAACAATTTGAAGGTATGAAGTTATTCCTTCAACTGTACAATGGGGAAAAGTTTATTATTCAACTTCAAAAGAATATATGTAGTTGAATGTTTATCCTAAAGAAAAAACGAAGTAAGGGAATAAACATTTTATTACAAAATATATATTTAATAATTTATTATGTACAGTACATATATCCTAGCTTAATATTTAATCACTTCACCATTCTTAATGCATTTACAAATATTACGATCATGATTATTACTAAATATTAAAATATGTATATATTTCTTTCGACAAAACATCACCTAATAACATGAATAATACCTGGTCCCTGTTTTTTTGATTTAAATAAACGATACTGGGTTTTGGTTAAGTTTTTAATGTGAAAATGCATGTATTAAGAAATGGTTGATTTGCATTATGTTCAAAAATTCGCGCCATTACTTGTGACAATTGTATGATTGGTATACAGATGCCGCTCTACACAAAGATTATACCGGGTCTTCTTCGCTCTCTATACTTCTCTGCCGAAATATATAGATAAAAAATATATATTTAGTTTAATTTTGGGTAAGAAAAATTTAGAATACTAATTGGGCGTGTTTGGTTAATGTAAATATTTACTTAGTCAGTCATTCACAATCAGCATAAAAAAAATTGAAATCTTAGTTCCTGAGTAATGCGCTTTCTGACCAGGACAGACTTACTGACCAATCATAACAGGAAAGTAAACAATTTTATAGGACATATTTAAAGAATTACATGTATAGATACATAAATAATAAAGCGGTATTTTGCTCGTCGATACTAAGAGAGCCTTCTCAAAATTCAAAAAGTATGTCGAGTGCTAAAATTTAGTAACAACGTACTTCTGTTAAACATGTCCTTCTAGTAACAACTATTCTGCCTTTTTAGAAAGACTGAAGTGTCAGTGACGGTAGTTTTCTAAATTGGTCTTGCTTCTTTGTATTTGCTAATTATAAACAGAAAACTCACAATGTTTAAAAGTAATATTTGAAAAGATTAATTAACAATTAATTACTTTGCCCGCCTAAAGATAAAATAAGATTTCTGTTCTAAAAAAAAAACACATTTGGTTTTTATCAAAAGATATCTATTGAATTATTTACAGACTTTATAATACAGTGAAGCTAGGCCACAACATCAACTTCACATTGCATGCCACAGCCTTGTTTAAATAAACTCAGGTTTATATTCTGAAAAATATAAAAATCTGGTAATCAAATGCAATCGATCTATTCACCAACATCACCTTCAACTACAATCGGGAATATCACTGTCATAGACAACACACAAATTAAATTAATATAACTAACTGTACACTTGTCCACTTTTGTCTTTTTATTTGTTTTGTTCTCTTGTACAGTACTTTGAATGGATAAAAATTTCCATCACTTAACAATAACGATCTTATTAAGGTTGTCTCCGATCATACTCTCGCCTGTAGTCTCTTTCTGGCCTCCATTCACCCGGAGAAAATCTATCCCTGGGAAACGGTTGATCTCCAGGGGCGTACATAGGGCCGCCAGGAACAAATGGAGGATAATGCGTAGGATACATGGGCCTAGCACTAATTGGGATGACTGAAGCATCACGACTACGTTGAAAAGACCGCCAATCATCCTTACACGGTAATCTGTAAATTAAGATTTCAATAATATTCACAATAATTATCAACTGCAATCGGTCATCGAACCTTTTGTCAATCGGTCTTGTATGGTCACGGTCTCTATGGTAGCCTGGATTTCCTCGGGAATAATCAAATCTATCCCTTTTGTAATCCATAGCAAACCTATCACGAGATTGCCCCCCAGACCATCGGTCGTGATCACTATGAGATGCTCTTTCTGGCTGATCATGTCTAAAGTTTGATCTCTGGCCTGAACTCTGTTTTCTACTCATACGACTTTGACTGTATCTACTAGCATAATCGTGACTTTCATCGTCATTTTCTTCCCTTGATTTTTTTGGACGATCTTTTTCTGAGCTTCTATCTTTTCTTTCTCTCCTACTAGTTAATGATATTGTTTAACACATTTAAAAATAATGATTCAATGTAGTTATGTACCTTTCCGAATGATGTTTTTTAAAGTCCTTATCATCTCTACTATCACTTTCATTCTCATGTTTTCTTTTAATATTCATTTCTTTGTCTTCTTTACCATCAGACTTGTCTTTTCCAGATGAACTTGCACCTTGTTGACTCTATAAAAAATATATATAATAGCATTATAAAGAAAAATTGCCTGTATGTATAAATAATATTTTACTTACATCCTCTTTTTTCTTTTCATTCTTCTTACATGCTTTTTTATACAGTTTATATAACTTTTTGGCATCGAATTCGGTAAATTTAGACACAAAATGCCATAAGTTGCTAAAATAAAAATTAACATAAGATTATTGCTAGATTGACTGATTGATTAATATGATAGCAAACTGGTACTATTTTCGTTCAAGTTATCAAAACATGAAAACAATACCTACCTTCTCCATTCTTTAAGTTTTTCAGGATCGGTATAATTTGCTAAACAAACATTTATTTGTTCCCCTATTTGTAATAAGCATAACATTGTATGATTAACTTGCTCTGCTTCAGAGAGAGATTGGTCGGGATTGTCAAGAGCTTTCAATGCCTTTTTAACTGGTCTCATCATTTCTTTACTCGCAAAATGTCGAAAAACTACTAATTTTAAAACAAATTTTAATTTAAAATATGGTGAAGGCGCCGGGGCATTT